ACTTGTTACTACTAGCGATGCACTTGTTACTAATAGCTTCTTGTTACTGCTAGTAAGGCACTTGTTACTACTAGTAAAGGGCACTTGTTACTACTAGCGATGCACTTGCGACTAATAGCTTCTTGTTACTACTAGTAAGGCACTTGTTGGGCCTGTGTCTATGATTATGTTAAAATCAGCCAGAAACCTAAAAAACATAAAAAAACATTTTTTTAGGTTTCAAAGAAAATGAAAAACAATGTTTTTTTGCAAAAGTTTAATTTCTAGCAATTCGTTGAAAACTAAAAAACACGTGTCTTTTAAATTTCTAGTGGTTTCTTGAAAAACTTTAAAAATTGTTCTTTTTTTTTGTAAACTTGAACATAACATTGAAAGGGCTTGGAATCTCCTCACTGGGTCGAATGTTAAAAGCCTAAAGGTAAAAAACCGTTCTGTCGGGGAACCCTGTGTGTCAAGGTGTTCAAGGCAATGTCTTGAGCAATGTTAGTATTGTCAGTATTGTCTCTGAAACAGAATTTCAGGGGTCGTCGCGTAGGTCGCCCCAGCCCCGACCATCCTCTCTCTCCCAGTTACAGCTGCTTACTGCTTACAAGCTTACTTGTACAAAATTCATCATCTCACCATCTCAACTCCAAACCCTGAGCGCTGGCGCAAATGCTGATTGTTTTTCAGCTGCCCCATCTGCACAGTCGTGTGAACAAGTGAGTCCCAGTCAACGGGCGTTGAAAGACTCCGTCAGCAGTTTTTGCCTTTTGCCACCCTGGCTGACACTGGCGGCATGACCTGAGCTGCCTTTGCTCATGAGGCAATCAAAACGCCCCGCTCTGCCGGCAATTCTCTGAGATCCGACCCACGTGCCCACCTCTGGCTTCGTCAGCCTTCTTCGCGTGGGAGACACGGCAGGATGGCCACCAGGTGCTTCTGATTCTGAATTGGGAATGCTGGCCAGCAGGCATGCAATGATAGCTCCAACCGTTGGCACGGATATAGTGTTGCCAGCAATCTTGTTCAGCTCCTTGTCCTAAAATGACACAAAAGTGTGACAAATTGTCATCCACCTTACATATAATCCGACGCCCTTGCGTTATGTTGACCGAGTGACCGATTTGAAATCATAGTTGTGTGGACAGGTCTGCGTAAACAAATTCAAAATCACTTGGGTTGTGGTTGTGCTGAGTGGCCGGTAAATGAACCCGATTTTGTCTCTCATGGTTGAGTTAGACTGTCTGACTTGATCATTTCATAAACGTGTTTGGAATCTCTGTGTAACAGTCAATAACAGGTAACAGGCATGTGTCTCTACAGCATGCAACACCTGCAGCCATATAGGTGAGTAGTATAATGGTGATGGTCCGGTGGAGAAATTGTCAACGACTGCCCATGACGAATACGTTTAGGGACCCACGTTTGTAACAAACCGGCCCATAATCAAGGCACTGGAACTTCAACAGCAGTGCCAGCGCCAGTACTGCCAGAGCACTTGATGCTGGCTGGAAAGCCTTGCCCCCTCAATAGCTCACATCCGAGCACCAATCCTAAGTCACAAATTATGGAGGCCATCGTTGGTAGGTTGGAGGCCATTGCTCTTAGGTTGGGGGCCATCGTTAGTAGGTTGGGGGCCATTCTGCTTAGGTTGGAGGCCATCGTCAGTAGGTTGGAGGCCATTGCTCTTAGGTTGGGGGCCATCGTTAGTAGGCTGAAGGCCATTGCGCTTAGGTCGGAGGCCATCGTTAGTAGGTTGGAGGCCATTGTGCTTAGGTTGGAGGCCATCGTTAGATCGCCGCAAATTAAGGGGGGGAACGTCCAAACATGTAACTTACGTTCAATGCCACAGTGCCCAATCCCCAACCGAATCCTCTCAACTCCCAACCCACTACCGAATGGCGTTTCCTGCCGCAGTGATAATAACGATGGCCTCGGACCAAACAAGGAAGATAGTCCTCATAAGATTCTTCTTTCCACTGGCTGAAGTGGATGTTGTGTGTAAGGTCCCATACAAATGGCATTGAAGCGCTGCCTCTGTGCTTTTCCAACCTGGAACATGAAGTCAGGGCTCAGGGTCAAAGTTGGGAAAATTGCAGTCAGTAGTTAGTCGTAAGCAGTCAGCAACCAAAGTCTGCAATACTGCAACTAACTATACCAAGTCGAGTCACACCCATAAATGCATGTACAAGAGATCCTGTTCTCGTGCTGGAAGGGTGCGAGTCCACTTATTGCCATACCGCTCAAGCAATGTCTTGGCACTAGGAACCTGGTCAAGGAGAGTGGAGAGAAAGATGACACTGACGACACAGACCCAGACTGTGACTGACAGACATAAAATATTAATTCATAATCACACAGACAAACGCAATTTGATGACGACAATGATGTGATGTGTGTGAATCTGAGTGCTGGTGCTACTTTTGCCTTGCCTGGCCTCCTCATTGAAAAAGGTTCTGATGTGATTCCTTGCCTCCTCATGCTTCTTGTGGCATTTGGGCCATGATGATCCAGTGTGAAATGACTCCAGAAGACTTGTAGTGGTCTTCTCAAGAGACTGTCTGCTCAAGAGCAGGGCCTCTACTCTCTCGTCATTGTCCTCCAGCATGAAATCACTGAAACGAGGCGTCTTCACCCTTGATGATATTTCCTGCCAAGTATCAGTCAGTCAGTCCGTCAATCAATCAGTCAGTCCGTCAGTCCAAAAGTCAGCAAGCAAACCCCACACCCTGCAACCACGAAACCCATTGAGATGGCCCATGCGCAATCTGTTTGCCAGTGCTGGCGCTGGACAAAACTCCACATACATAGAGACGGCTTCTGCTCTGAGGACCCCGAAGTTGCATGAATTTGCAAATAAGGAAGCACACACATACCCAAGTGACTCCAGTTCTTGTTGTACTATCTCCGCAGTATTCCTTTTGGCCACATTCTCTAGTATCACTGCCACCTGGGCGGGGAACTGTCACAGCACAATGAGACCGAAACTGCCAGAGCAGTACTATAACTACACTGTAATTGTAACTGTAACACAGTGAAGTCAGGTCCAGTCTTCATCTAGCTCTATTCAAATCAAATCTAAGTCCAGTCCAGTCCAGTCTGACTGACTGAGTCTAAGTGCAGTGCGCTCAGACTCTAACAGTCTAATTAATTGTGTAATTAAAAGAGTCAGAGTCATAGAGTCATAGACTCATAGACATGTTTTTAATGTCTAAGTTTATCGCAGTGAAGCAGTGGCATGGCACTTGTGAGCTGCTTGGGCGCCCACGGTTTTTTTTTGCTTGATATATTCCAAGGATTTTGCCAGCGTCTTTGACGACATGCCAGACCTTGAGCTGGTGGTGTCTGAAATTATTAAACTTCATCAACCAACCAACCCAACCATAATCATTGACTCATCATATTGTCACTTCTGAGTTCTGAGAGAAGTACTCAGAGCCCACATTGTGTATGTTCAGCTCCTTCTTCGCCACATTGAGATTGGACAAATCCTGGCATGGGTAATGGGCCGTGGGCCATGGGTTTGAGTCTGGGATTGGATTGCAATACAATTCACTTCCAGCCTGGCATTCAAAGCCGCCAGTGTACAGCAAAACAGAAGGCACAGGGGCCTGCAAACCAGCATTTTTCCAATCTGGCCCTGACTCACTGGTTCTGGCCTCAACAAAGCAGGATAGGATAGTGGAGAGGAGAAATCTAGGACGCGGGCTAGCAGCTAGGCTCTATGTCTATCTATAAGTCTATAACGGATACAGATACGGACCGTAATAAATAGACATATAATAGTTATTGTATGATAGATAGACTGATAGACACATAGACACATAGATAATAGAGTATAGTCTAGAGTCTAGTATAAATGACGACTCAATGACAATTCTGATAACAATTCAACAAGTGTAAATGCTGCCGATTCCTACCGGCAATTGACATTACACAAAAGTCATGCCATACCATGCGATGACGGGACAGCCGAGACACCAACATGTCGTCAAAAATGATTTGAGGACTTCTTTCAATGCCTCCACCGATCTCAAGCATCACCTTCTGCCAATACCCATCTGAACCTGGCGCTTCACTTGCAAATTTGTATTGGAGATCCAATTGCTTGCCACAGTGCACCTGTCAGAATGAGTGAGCACTTGCCAGCGGGCCAGTCTAACTCAGTGTCAAGTTCGAGTCGAGTTGAGCATGAAGTTTGAAGATATAGAATTATCAAATCAATAGTATTGTAACGTAACGTAACTAGTATCAGTAGTAAAGCCTTGTTCTGCTGTTATAGTATCATATCATATCACTGTATACAGAGTACATGACACGCTTGTGCCTCCACACCCTCTGCTAGCTGACAAAGCGCCCACCATGGAGAGTCTATGCCAGAACAATCGGAGCCATAGGAGACCGGTAAATCAAAGCTTTGCTGCGACAAGTATGGCCCCACCACACTCATTGTGGCGTCAACCCACCAGGGAATTGCTCGGGCTTCTGGTTCCGCAGACACAGCGCTGCTGCTATCCTTCCACTTCCAGTTCAAGTCTGAGTCAGAGTTGGTGTGTGTGTACTGCGGCGTTTGATGAGTTTGTTTGATCTAATCTATTTTGAATTTTGAACCCAGAGTTCAGAGTCCAGAGTCCAGAGACAGTCAATCAAACTCAAACAGTCAATGAGTCAATCAAGTGACTCTGGCGGGGCTGTCAGTCCTTGTTGGTGGGAGCTGGCAATGCACGGTCCATGTGTAAATCTTCTGCTGCTTCCGCTTCCGCTGCCACTACCTGTTCTTTTTCAGGGGCGCGGCCAGTGAGTGTGGCCAGCTCTTTTTTTCTAAGATAGAACCCCAACAGTAAACTGCTTGGGTAATAAAAGTGTTGAGTTT